TAAGACACAGACTCAGTTGTCTGTGCTGGGCTATGTGACCGAGACATGCCCAGCCTGAGTCTGTCGAGGAGGCTGTGTGACCAAACGCAGCACAAGGGAAATTCAACAGTCAAAGACAACTGTAGAGTCAAAGGTACCGCACCCAGACCTATGGTCGGATACATTCACTTGTTGTGTGCAGGTACCCAGACAGCATTCAGGGCGGGAGAAATACAGTTTCTGGCTGATCTGGGCCCTCATTCATATCGAGATCTGGACGGTGCAGGACCTCAGTACCCGGGGTCCAGACCCCGCTGTCGGCACCATTACCCTTACAAGGGTAAATGTGCGTGTTTTTGCACCTCGCAGAAGAAGCGATTGAGCCGATACATGAAAGAATGGGGGGATTGTCGCCAGCCGCGACTGACAACTGTATGTCAGAAGTGGCAGGCGTATGTATAGCTTGATTAGAGAGTGTGTGAGCATGCACTTTGCGGGCAAGCGCGAGTTGTTTGACTACCAGGTAACTTAGGAGTTTAGACCGCACTGTGTGGGCCGCAGTCTCGCGACCACTGATAAAGTCGTGGCCGACATAAGTGTAACTAGAAGGACTGCGGCCAGGAAGGAGTCCTGGCTGACCCTCTGAAAGCCGACCTCTTTTTGGGTCGCATAGTGCGGGTCGCACAATACTGAGTTGACTATCTGTCACAGGGGACCGGAGGTTGGACGAATGGATATGGACTGGTCTCGGTAGGGGCGGATGCCGGGCTTCTTCCGGTAGACCAGGAAAGCCACACACTGCGGTTAATGGTACGCAAGACCGGCATGTGCGGCAAGACACGCAAATGCCTGCCTCAAGGCGGTGCTGTACGGCGCTGCAAAGCCATGGCTTGGGGGACATGCCTTGCTGTGGGCTTGGCATGCCTCCGCAGGCCTAGGAAATCTGCGGATACTGTTTATAGGTAAGTTTGCGCCTACTACAATCAGGCTGGGGCTTAGCCCTATTGGTTACAGCGTTAAAGTTTCACGAGGTGGATCTCGGGATCAAGACCAACGAGGAGCAGTGAAGTAGCGGAGAAGCGTTTGAAGGGAACTAGGGGGTTGAGGGTCCCGCAGGACTATCCCCCTTAGTTTTGCTAGGGGAGTCCGACACCGGGCCCGCTGGGATAGGACCAAGTGCTGGCGGTCCTCCTCCCTCCTCCGCCCTCTTTCCCAAAATTTTCTAAGTCACAATTTTTATTTTTATTTTATTTTTATTTTTCCTAAAATTCTGATTTCATTTTATTTGTTGTTTTTTTATCGCACTATGGGACGTGGCCGGGACCGATCTGTGGACCGACGGTAATGCTCAGATCGACTTAGTAGGTACGCTCACGGACCATTCAGATACCAGCAGGCTGTGGTATAGTCCTACGGGACATCTGTTAAAAAATTGGAACGATACAGAAGAGGCTGACACGGTCCCTTCGTAGGAAGGACAAGTATAAAGCCTGGTCACCGCCCGTCACTGTTGCTGCTGTAGCACGAGGTAGATTGCCAAATGCTGTGCAACCTCTTGAAGGAGCTAATCGCAGGGTAGTGTGCCATGAGGAGTGTGAAAGTGACAAAGGAAAGGGACATGGCGGAGCTGATGGGCGTTGCCCTGTGCAACTAAAAGTGCTGGCAGCAATCGAGGAGAGGAGGAAAAATTTGAGGGAACCTAGACGCAGGCCTGCGCTAGGTGCATTCGAAGGTAACGAAGGGACGGCGGGGAGTCGGAGAGGAAGGGAGTTGGGAGGAAGAGAGAGGAGCTCACCTTCAGCAAGGCTAGGGGCAGCCAGCTCATGCAAACAGCAGAAGGGGGTCATGTCCTACAGATGAAGCACCTGGCTACAGCTAAGTAAGGAAAGCGGAATGAACCTGGACGCGGTTCTGCGCCAGATACATTTGGAGGATAAAGGGAAAAGTGACGTCGGGCTGGAGAGTATGGCGGAAAGAGAATCCGTAGCACGGCTATTTCCTAACGAGACTTGATGAGGGGAGTTGATAGCCTGTGGTTTTGAAGGCTGACGAACACGAATCTGCAGTCAGGGAAGGCAGAAGGTTAGTAGGAGGGGAAAAAGAAAGGAAAAATGGTGCGCAGAGATGCCACGAAACGGTGATGGTAGGGGTTGAAGTAGACGGATCTCGATCGTTTTTTGACCAAATTGAGCAAGGTAAGATGCTAGATAGGGGTTTTTAGGCATTCTGAGTCAGATGGAGGCGTCAGAACTTGAATCTGAACAGCGGTTTGGTCGGTAAAAGAGGAGGGGGCTGCGCCACCATGGCCGAGCCAGCCATCGAATTACTCCATTTTTTTAATTTTTTTTAGCAAAGAATCAGTCCTTTTTTTTTCGCCCATGGTATGATATCTACCCAGGCGTAGGTTTTGTGTCCACCATCAGTACCAGTACATGCCCTTCGTCCCCCTATGGGGATTGTTTTCTCCGTTTCCAAAGCAGTCGTCCTCATTGCTCGTCATACTCCCTTACGGGTCGTGTTGGGTTGTTATGGCTGAAATCCTTGAACCTGGCTACTATTACAGCCAGGCGTCGTGAACGGTGAGAGATATATCGGGTAGTGATCATGTTTCATATCGGTACTGACCAGAGGTGTGAAAATAATAATAATAATAAATAAATAATAGTAATGGTAACAAGTGTTGGACGGGGAGGTGACAAACTWYGAGAGAGTTGAATAGKYAGGGGAGTATTAGAGGGGGATTGCATGTATCTASACCYAAGCTTCGACAGCAGCCARCAAAGGGGTAGCTAGATCAAGCAGGAGTCTAACAGACTAGAACTCTTGAGCCCGCTATTGCAGTACGGAGGGGATGGAATAGCTGCAATCTGATTTTAGTATTATTGGGGTTGCTGCCGCGACATGATTAAGACTCTCTMGGTTGCTGTTAAATACCGGCCACAGCAACAGCTATCCTGATATCTGGCTATTTGAGCAGCACCGTGAACAGCCAGTTGTGTTGCTATGTCACCAGCTGGGCTGCCATTATGAAGATCTGATTTTGGTTGTTGTAGAGCTAAGTATCACTAAAAGAAGTCATCATGCCCAGGCTACACTACTGTTATCCTGCCCCAAGGACGCAATGTGGTTACCCTCAGAGTTTTTGTTAGTATTGTCACTTTGCCTTGTTAATAAGTGCAGTTGCTGAGCACCACGGTGCGTTGCTGTTTCTGCTATAGCTTATGGGCTCCCTGTTGATTGGGACACAGACGTTTTGACTAAGGCGGAAGGCTGATACCCGCGGACGCAGGGAGCGCAGTTCCTCTTTTTATTTTTATTTTTTTTATTTTTTATTTGCAGCAAAATACTGATGTTCCACAAGTAAACTATCGTGATACCGTTGTACTATTTAGGCATGCGGGCACTTGAGTGCATCATGTCCTCGTGGAAGACTACTAAGTAGGGACTGAAACTTATATAAAAAGCAGGGGCGGTAGCTACTCAGTTTGTACCAGCATTGCTAGGCCAGGCCACAGCCTGGGGTTGCTGTTACCAAACGTCACCACTAGGTGCCAGAGATGCTGCCAAGGAAGGTCGCGACAGACGGTGGCTAGTGTTAGGAGCCAGTACTACAACGAAACTTTACCTGTGTGGCTTCTGCTGCTCAATGTCGGGTCCGGCTGTTTGAAGCTGCGTCACGGCGGTGGCTGCTGATGCCGTACTTTGCTATGAATATACTCTGTGGCCACTGTTATGAGGAGACTATAAGCATTGTACAGCTGTTCAAACAGGGCTTCGGATGCTGAAGCAGCAGTCCTGCTGGGTTTGTTATAGCTACCACCACTACAACGGGATCAGGCTGCCACTGCACTGGGACTGAAGAGTTGCTGCTGTACCGAGCTGCCCGTTGTGCCTTGCCATAGCGGACTACTGTGCAGGGTGATTGTCTGTTGACGGGCTCGCTAATGTGCAGAGCGCCACCCCTATTGCTTCACTACAGATCTGAGC